TCACACCTGTAATCCCAGCACTTTGGGAGGCTGAGGTGGGTGGATCACTTGAGGTCAGGAGTTCGAGACCAGCCTGACCAACATGGTGAAGCCTCATCTCTATTAAAAATAGAAAGCATTAGCTGGGTGTGGCGGGCACCTGTAATGCCAGCTACTTGGAAGGCTGAGACAGAATTGCTTGACCCTGGGAGGCAGAGGTTGCAGTGAGTCAAGATCGTGCCGCTGCACTCCAGCCTGGGTGACAAAGCCAGACTCAGTCTCAAAAAAAAAAAAAAAAGATCGACTCACACTTGTTAGCATTTATTTGAAATTCTGAGTGAATAATGTACAATTCGAGAGTCTGCATTAGTTTTAATAATGTAATAGCTTAATCCTATTACATCTCTAAATTAATTTGTTTTTTGTTTTGTTTTGTTTTGTTTTTTAAGATGGAGTTTCACTCTTATTGCCCAGGCTGGAGTGCAATGGCATGCTCTCAGCTCACTGCAACCTCCGCCTCCTGGGTTCAAGCGATTCTCCTGCCTCATCCTCCCGAGTATCTGGGAATACAGGCATGTGCCACCATACCCGGCTAGTTTTGTGTTTTTAGTACACATGGAGTTTCTCCATGTTGGTCAGGCTGGTCTCGAACTCCCAACCTCAGGTGATCTGTGCATCTAGGCCTCCCAAAATTCTTGGATTACAGGCATGAGCCACCGTGCTCAGCCTAAATTAGTTTTTAAAATCAGATCAAGCAGCTCATAGGAAAGAATCACTGTCTGTATCATTTCCTGCAGGTATCAAACTGTGTAAAAGGGCATATGCCCTCACAGGTTGGTGCGGTGATTATAAAACTCCGGAATTAATTTGATGAACCCTTAGAGATCATCAAATGGAATTCACTTTACAAGAGGGAAAATAGAACCTCAGAGTGTATATAGTAGTTCTAGCTTCTTAAAAAATAACATCTAGGTCATTAATATATAAACTTGAGAAGGTTTTTCCATAAATATGTATTATTGACATTAAGGAAATTCTGATGCTGAATTTGAAATAGTTTCAGAAACATATTTTGGTTTTAAAGTTTAATGCCAGTATAGTAAAGTTTCATCTCTTGATGTTCACTTCAGTTAAATGTGATTTGTCTAAATGTTTCAGGAAAGACCTTGCAAGGACACTCTTGACTGTGGGTGGTAAGAAATTTTAGAATTTTCAGTATTAGAATATTAAATATTGGACACTGGGGGTTTTATGAGCATCTTGGGACCATGGGGAATAAATTATGGTTAAATTGAAGATAGGAATTAGGGTTTTATTTTAAATTTATTTTGAGAGATTTTAGCATGCTGAAAACTGTAAAGAATAATTCGCGAATACTCGTTTACTACCAGCCAGCTTCGTCAAAATTTAGCATTTTACCACATTAGCTTCAAGTCTGTTTTTAAAGAAAAAAAAAAAGGTGTCATGGATAAAGTCCCCTGTGTCCATGTTCCTCATCCCATTTCCTTCTCCTTGACTCAGATTTGTTTTTCATTCCCAAGCATATTTTTCTGTTTTTACTCTGTAGATCCCTAAACAACATGCATTATCATTTTGTAGATTTTAAAAGCATCCTATAAATGCCATTCCTTGGGCTACAACTCCCTTTTTACCCTTAGAATTGTTTGTAATTTAAACATGTTACTACATGTAGTTTTAGTTTATTCGCTGTGAAATACTACAAGTTATTTTGGGATTTTATTTTGTAGTAGAAACTTTTTTTTTTTTAATGGAGTTTTGCTCTTATTGCCCAGGCTGGAGTACAATGGCATGATCTCGGCTCACTGCAACCTCCGCCTCCTGGGTTCAAGTGATTCTCCTGCCTCAGCCTCCTGAATAGCTGGGACTACAGGCATGTACCACCATGCCCGGCTAATTTTTGTATTTTTAGTAGAGATGGGGTTTCACCATGTTGGCCACGCTAGTCTCGAACTCCTGACCTCAGGTGATCTGCCTGCCTTGGCCTCCCAAAGTGCTGGGATTACAGGCATGAGCCACCACGCCTGGCCAGTAGAAACATTTTTAAGGCTGTTTGATGATTTGCTTTGGATGAGTATAATTTTAAGGCTGTTTGATGATTTGCTTTAGATTAATATATCTAAAATATAATACCCATAAATATTATTTATTTAAAAATTGTTATATACCAACCTCTTATTTAGATTTTTATTTTATTTCTTAAATACTGAATTTACATGATTTTGGCAAGGTGTGGTGGCTCATGCCTACAATCCCGGCACTTTGGGAGGCCGAGGTGGGCAGATCGCTTGAACCCAGAAGTTCAAGACCAGCCTGGCCAACATGGCAAAACCTTATCTCTACTGAAAATATAAAGATTAGCAAGGCATGGTGACACATGCCTGTAATCCCAGCTTCTTGGGAGGCTGAGGCAGGAGAATCACTTGAATCCAGGAGGCGAAGATTGCAGTGAGTTGAGATCGGGTCACTGTACTCCAGCCACCACTGCACTCCAGGGTGACAAAGTAAGACTATCTCAAAAAAAAAAAAAAAAAAAGAATTTAAATGATTCTGATTACTCCAGGATGCATCTTGCCGTGGTAACTCTAAGACGTAATGCTAGGCTTCTCAGATGGAGTTTCTTAGAGCAAGTGCTAGCTCTGGAACTTGTTTTTTCTTTTGCTTTGTGCCCAGAATTATCTGTGTCTACCATGTTTTTAATCTCTAGATTATGACCAGCAGGTTGCTATTTCTGAAGCGCTGTGTAGACTGACGATTAGAAATTCAAGGGAGGAACTTGTCCATAAATGGTTTGATGATGAAGTCATTGCCGAAGGTTTCAAAGAAATTAAGGATCGAGAATTTGAGACGGTGAGATTCCTGGTCATGCGAATTTCTGTTTAGCCAATATTTATTAAGCATCCTCTGAGAACTTTCCTGTGTGTTGGGCTTACATGAGGATTTTTTTTTTGGCTTAAGTGTGATTACACTGCCATTCTTAAACTTGTATCCCACTTAGGAGAAACAATTTGAAGGCAATATGAACAGAATATTGTGAGTTAGATATAAGGATACAGATAGGACTTTTTCTTTTCTTTTCTTTTCTTTTTTTTTAAAGACAGAATCTCATGCTGTTGCCCAGGCTGGAGTATAGTGGCACAATCTCAGCTCACTGCAACCTCTGCCTCCTGGGTTCAAGTGATTCTCCTGCCTCAGCTTCCCAAGTAGCTGGGATTACAGGTGCCTGCCACCACGCCTGGCTAATTTTTTATTTTTAGTAGAGACCAGGTTTAGCCATGTTGGCCAGTCTTATCTTGAACTCCTGACCTCAGGTGATCTGCCCACCTTGGCCTCCCAGAGTGCTGGAGTTACAGGTGTGAGCCACCATGTCTGTCCAGGACTTCTTTATAGGAGACAGAACTAGGTGAATTTGATGGATTCAGTTAAAAAAATTGTCTTGGAAGGGTGAGCAATTTTCAGTGAACTTTGAACGGTAGGGAGAATTGAAGAAGAAATCAGAGCACTTTTGCCTTGCAGAAGGCAGCTGCTGTGATGGCAGGAGGCTGAAAGGGACATGGCCTGGCAGAGAAGTATTATGGGGTGGCTGTGTTCTGAGCCATCTGACCTGTACAATTTGGAGAAACAATACTTTTTAGTGTCTTCTCTGCAACCTGGGCTTCCTGTGATTGTGTTCACAAAAGCCATACAAAAATAGCTTATGACTTTGTTGTGTATTCACCTTCCTCTTAAAATAGCTAAAACATTTTCCCTCTTCTTTTAAAAAGTTTTTAAAATGAGGGTTAGACTCCTGTAGGAAAAGGTAAAATTCTTAATAACAGTACTCATGTTGACAAAACTTTTCTGGTCAAAATTCCCATGTAATCAGGATTTTTATTAAACATGGACCTTTATATTTCCTCAGACTCTGAACCTACTGTCATATACTGCATATAGTAATTATTTAGCCAGGATTCAGTATAATCTCAGTGGAAAGACCATGAGGAACTGGGTTGAACCTAGAGTTTGAGCCCCACTTCTCCAATTTATGGGATGTATGCATTTTGGCAAGGTAGTTGACTTGTGAAGCCTGAGTGACCTCATCTGTAAAATGGGACTAAAGCCCACTTCAAAGTCTTGAGAATTCAATGAGAGAAACTGAAAGGTCCAGGGCTATTGTAGGCACTCGTGTTAATTTCCTTTCTGCTCTTTGTCATTTCTCATTTGCAGGAAAATTTGATGAAAATAGAGAAATGTAATTATCTTGTTTCCAAAATCATTTCCTTCCCCAGCGCTATCAGTTTCTCAATTGAATTGTCTATGTGTTTTGTTTTGTTTTGTTTTGTTTTGTTTTTGAGGCAGAGTTTTGCTCTTGTTGCCCAGGCTGGAGTGCAAAGGCGCGATCTTGGCTCACCACAACCTCCGCCTCCTGGGTTCAAACGATTCTCCTGCCTCAGCCTCCCGAGTAGCTGGGATTACAGGCATGTGCCATCACTCCTGGCTAATTTTGTATTTTTAGTAGAGACGGGGTTTCTCCATGTTGGTCAGGCTGGTCTCCAACTCCCAACCTCAGATGATCTGCCTGCCTCAGCCTCCCAAAGTGCTGGGATTACAGATGAGAGCCACCGCACCCAGCCCGAATTGCTTTTTTACATGAAAGGCTTACACTGCTGATGTCTAATTACTGCTGAACGGTTAGATCAGGAGCATAAGGAGTGTTGACTACAATAGCCAATCCTTGCTAACAAAAGGGAACAAAATCATGGATCTGTGTCTTTGTTTTTAGAATGTGGGGCAACAAATTTCTTCCTGAGAGCTGTTGGTTGGGTAAACTCTAATAATAGTCTTTGTTCTTAGAACATATGCTAGGAGAAGAGAGTGAGATAGAGAACTCCCAAAAAGGAAAACTGGCCATAGATAATACACCCAGATCAACCCAAAGTTGATAAATTTTATAGGTTTGTGCTGTGCAGGTGTTAGGGAGGTGGATGCCCAATGGGTTGGTCAAATATTGTAACCTAGGTCATCAGTAAGATGTATTTCTCCTGCTTACACTTCTGACCCAGTGAAACATAACCAGGCATTTAACTTTTGGAGACCTAAGTATTCCTCAGCTGAAAATCTAATGGCTGCAGGGAACAAAGTTTCCTTCTAGAAACATGATCCCGGAGCCTCCTCTTTGTGGCATGAAGTATTGTTAACATATAATAACGAATCCTTATAAAGCCTCATTGATGTTACTGCATCCTGGTCATTTAGAAGCAAACACTGGCCTCTATATGCTAAGGTAGTATTGACCAAGACATCTTGATTTTTTTTTTAATAAAAGAGTTTATATCATTTGCTTTGAAGGACAGTAGACGTTTTCTCAATCACCTAAACGACAGACTCGGTGACCAAAGAAGGTAAGTTGTGTCTCTGAGCATTATTGACTAGTTGTGTTCTGAAAATGTCTAATGTTTTAAAAGAGCAGTTTAGGATCTGTTTCATTTTGGGAGAGAATATTGGGTACATCTTTACAGAACATATTGAGTTGTCCATTGAGTAGAAACTTGAGAAGATCAGACCCTTTCTGCCTAGTGGCTTGTTGGAGTGTTTTTAAAAATTATCTCTATCAGTTTTATGGTATTTGTGACTTGGGGTATGTATTTTAAAATAATACATTCTTTAAAGAGTTCATAGATTTTATTAAAAACAATTTCCTGACTTGAAGTTGCTGGAGTTAGTTGTATCGTGAACAGTTAAGTCCTTGGTCAGACAATATTTGCTAAATTCACTCCTTTTGTTTGGGAATCTGGCTGAGTAACTGGGTTGAGATATAGTACTAGTAAACCTGGTTTACTGACTGCCAGATGGAGATTTGAAATCTACCCATAGTAGGTCTCCATTTGCAGACTTAACCCCCTTATCGTACTCTGTACGAGAAGACTTAATGCATACTCTAGTTATAAGTGCTTGTTGCGGAACGTCTGTAGATGTGTTTAAGGTTCATTCATATTTTATTTTTTAATTGTGAGATGTTTTGCAGGGTGTATTCATTTCCGTGTGTTGCTGCTTTTGCTGATGAGCATGAGGTATGTTCATCTCTCTTGGAGGTCTGAGGGTGGTGTGCAGTGAAACCAGGAGTTAGGTTTATATGGTTAGGTCAAACTTTTGTTCTCATAACTCAAAAGGGCTTTTTAAAAAAGGATGCTAACTTCTCCTAATGACCTAAATTCTCAAACTGATCATACCATACCCTAACCAGAATGCATTACCAGTAAGTTTAAGGGCTCTACTATTACTACGGGAAAAAG